AACAGGGGAATATGTTTCATCATAATCGATCCCAGGCCTCTGGGAAAATCCCTGTGCTACAAGGCGAGCTTTATATCTTGTGATCTCATTTTTCTCATTTCTTTTTCTGACGAAAACCCATCTGTACCCAATAGGTTTTATGTCTTTGGGTATATAATGGTTATAGGTCCAAAAACCTTTCGTTTATTAAGCGAATTTAACTCGGCTTGAATAGCGCTTTTCCACTTTTCCCAATCATGTCTTTTCTGACATTCAATTATAGATTTTGGTTCAGGATCCTCAACTTTTTTGTCAATTTCTTGTGATACCATATATGCGAAAGCATCATCAATGATCTCATCACGCTTCCAAAGTTTCCCATTATTTACATAATTGATGGAGATTTCAATATTTTCATTTCGTTCTGAAATTTTTCCATCATCTTGATTTTTTTTCAAATTCGAATCTTGAATTTCTCTTTTCTTTCGAGGATTCTTATCTTTAGACCCCACTGGCCTTCCTCGTTTCAAGCGTGCCTTTAACTCATTTGGCATATCGTCATTTGCCATTTCTTTTGGAATCTCAATTCGAGCAGGGGCATTTATAGCTGCAACATGTGATTTTGTCACCCTTTTGTGTCAGTAAATGCATCTGGCAATTGATTTGCAATATTCTGCAGATGTATGATCTTTTGAACTTCTTGCTCTCTTTGTTTGGTGGGAGGATCAAGATATGATAGTGATGATGTTCTCCATTCAATATTTTTCTCAATTGACTTTTCATTCCCACCTAAAGGGAGAAATAATTCTTCATTAAAATGACAATCACCAAACCGAGCTGTAAAAACGTCACCTGTTTTTGGCTCAAGGTATTTTATTATTGATGGAGATTCATATCCAACATATATTCCCAACCTTCTTTGAGGCCCCATTTTCGTACGTTGGGGCGGAGCAATTGGTACATACACCGCACAACCAAAAATTCTTATGTGTGCAATATTTGGTTCTCGACCAGATGCCAACTGTAATGGCGAGTATGTATGGTGTGCACTTGGTCTTATGCGAATTAGATTATCTGCATGCAGAATAGCATGTCCCCATACTGAAGTGGGCAGATTTGTTCTCATTATCAATGGTCTGGCTATAAGTTGCAGTCGTTTAATCAATGATTCTGCTAGACCATTTTGAGTATGAACATGTGCTACAGGATGTTCAACATCAATTCCCACTGCCATACAATAATCATTAAATGCTTGAGATGTAAATTCTCCAGCATTTTCCAGTCGGACCCTTTTTATAATATAATCTGGGAATTGAGCCCTTAATTTGATAAGTTGGGAAAGCAATTTAGCAAATGCCACATTTCTAGTGGATAACAAACTCTCGTGAGACCATCTACTAAAAGCATCAATTAACACCATAAAATATCTGAATGGACCACAATGTGGATGAATAGGTCCACATATATCACCATGAATCCTTTCTAAAAATAATGGTGATTCATGCCCGACTTTAGTATGTGATGGTCTTATTATCAGTTTCCCTTGAGAACATGAGGCACATGTCAATTCATGTGTTTGCAATATCCTCTGATTTTTTAACGGATGTCCACTAGAATTTTCAATAATTCTTCGCATCATTATCGAGTCACGATGACCAAGTCTATCATGCCAAAGTTTAAACATTTCATTCGCCTGTGACTTTGTTGCAGCATAAGTCTCAATAATATAAATGCGGGTGTAAT